AGGTTATTTTTATTCTTCCTGAATGTATCTTCATATCTTTGTTAAAGGACTTAACTTTCCTAAGATAAAGAGGGGTTGCAAATTGATTTACCTATAGGGGTAGCATTGATTGGGGAAAGGGGATTACCTTGAAGTTTAACTATATATGAATATTAGAAAATAAAAATAAAGAAAGGAATAAACTAGACTGAAGTAAACTAAAATTAAAAAAAAACAATAGAAAAGCAAAAGAACAACAGGGGTGTATGTGTCAAAAAGTTTAGGTTAGAAGGTTATTATGGAATATGATGTTCTGGACATCTCACTGTGATGGTAAATAGGTTAAAAAATTATCTATATAAAAAAAATGAACCAGAATAGTTGTAATGCGTTAAAAATAAAAGTTGTATCTATGAATTAATGTTGGTTGTTCTCTTGTTTTCTTTTTTTTCTTTCTTTCCTGGTTGGTTTTCTGGGGGAGGGGCCTTCCACGTGGATTTTGAGTCAATGATGTTCCCTGAGTTAAGTCCTCCCACCCCCCTGAAAGGGGTGGGCTCTGAGGAAAGGGGTTTTTTCAGGCTTTTGTTCTCTGAAGGATTTTATGTTTGTTCATCTCTTTTCTCTCACCTTGACAGCTTGCGATGGTTTTTGGAGGTTTAGAGGAAAGCAAACTGCACCCCGGCCTCCCTCTCAGAGAGAAGCCTCAGTCTGCTCTCCTGTGGGTGCTGGAGAGCACATAAATTCCTCCTCAGCCACTGGCAGAACAGGTTCCAAGTTGCAGTCCCTGGGGACGCAGGATCTCCTGCTTGTATCCAAAACCATGGCAGCGGTGGCTGTCTAGGCAGCTCCAGACCACCAGAGAGGTTCCAAGCAGTGAACGCACACTGAGATTTTCCCACTGGTCTGGGCTGGGAATGCCTGGTCTTTCCGGGTCTGAGAGCTCCCGGCTGGAGCTTGCGTGCACCTCTCCCAGGGGAGGGTCTGGGGCACGTGGGTCTCAGACTCTGAAAGCACGGCATGGGTCTAAGAGCGCCAGGCTGGGGCCTTCGCTCACCTCTCTCAGGGGAGGGTGTGGGGTGGGCATGTCTCAGGCTCTGATAGTATGGCACGGGTCAAAGAGTGTCAGGCTGGTGCCTGCCCGCACCTCTCTCAAGGGAGGGTGTGGGGTGCACGTGTCTTAGTCTCTGATAGTACGGCCAGGCGTTCTGCCGTCTGGTGAGGCTCCCAGCCCCTCATGGGAGCTGGACCTCATGCATTCTTGGGCACTCTGGCGGCTCAGTGACCAAGACCTGGTTTCTCCGCTGCACTCTTTCTGGCTCAGAGCCATGGGAGGCTGTCCTGGGTCTGGGAACTTAAGCCCCTGTCCCTAACCACCTCAATTCCACAATTTACCCCCGGGATCCTTAGCTCTTTTTGAGTGCTTTCAACCAGACTCCAAGTTAATGGTGGTCCCCAGATGCAGGGCACTCTCATATTGGGGTATTACTTTCCAATTGGTTGTCTGTGGTGGCTTCCTCCCCCTTTTGTTTATCTTCTGATATCAGTCTGACATTCCCACTCCGCTTTACCTGCCCACTGGCATCTTATGCCCCTGTAGAGATCCAGACGTGTTTAAATCTGATCTCAGACTGATTTCATGGGTGATCAGAGTTCTTTGGTAGGTAATCAGCTCACTTTAGGGTACAGGTTGAAATAGTGCCTCCTCCTACTTCCCCGCCATCTTGTCTCTCTCAAGTTTGTAAGTTTTCTTTGTATTTCTATTTTTTGGAATAGTCAGAGATGAATCTGTATATTTTATGTTTGTTTGTTTTTTTTTAATGTTTGGTAGAATTCATTTGTGATGACATCCTGCTCTCGACTTCTGGTTTTTGTTTTTGCTTTTTTTGTTTGTTTTTGTTTTTTGCTTTTTAAATTATTATTATTACTGATTCAGTTTCTTTACTGTTTGCCAGTCTGTTCAAGTTTTTTTGTTTTCCTGTTTCAGGAAAGCTGTGAATTTTTAAAGTTTTTTTCCCTTGCCAGCATGGACTAAAGGAAATATTCAGTAATGGTTTAACCTTTCTTAAAGGAATGTTTGCCCTTTGTCTTCAGCTCCTGTATTGTAACTTATAAGTCTTTCAAATGTCCTGCCTCATAAATTTATTTGTTTTTCTGGATCCTTGGGACACTTGAGATATTGTATCCCCTGGCTAAATTGTTGTAATAACACATAGCCATTGGCTAAAGGATTTTCTGAATTCTGTGAGTATTTTTAGCAAACTACTGAAACAGAATGGTTTGTGGGACCCTCAGATTTTCAGTTGGCATCACAAGGGAAGACGGTCTTGAGAAGTTCATACATCATGCAGGAACAGACATTTTTTTAAAGATTTTATTTATTTATTTGACAGAGAGATCACAAGTAGGCAGAGAGGCAGGCAGAGAGAGAGGGAAGCAGGCTCCCTACCAAGCAGAGAACCCGATGCAGGGCTCGATCCCAGGATGCTGAGATCATGACCTGAACCGAAGGCAGAGGCCCAACTCACTGAGCCACACAGGCGCCCCAGGAACAGACATTTTATATGACAACAACAACACAAGGCTTTTAGATTACTTAAATGTTGTAAAACTCAGGCCAAAAAGTACACTCTGTTCCAAAGTCAGTTTATATATTCCAAAGGAAGTAGAGAGAAAACCTGAGGACTCAGAGAGTGAAGTTGTGAGCTGTTAAGAAGTATTCCCAAGCTACAGTATGAAGTTCCAATAGATCATATGTACAGAGCATCAATAAGTAAATCAATAACATTAACCTGAATGTCACTACAGACTAAATGTGCTTAATGATAATACATAGATTATTCGAACCAATAGCAGTAGAATATACTTTTTCTCAAACATGCAGCATTCTCCAAGATTGATCATATGTTAGGTAAAAGAACAAGTTTTAACAAATTGAGAACCTTGAAATTACACAAAATATATTTTTCAGCCACAGTAAAATAAAACTGGAAATAAATAACAAAAGGAAAATTGGAAAGAGCCAATATGAAACAACACGATCTTTTACAACCAATACGACAAAAATAAAATCAAATTTGAAATCAGTAAAATCTTGTGAAAACAAAAATATAACACAATATAGGAAAACTTATGGACTCAACAAAAGCAGTATGTAGAGGGAACATTATAGTACTACTCTTTCTATATCAAATGACCTAAGTTCGGGACACAAGGACCATTTTTTTAAAGTACAAACTGGCCCAAAATAGGAGGAAAAACCATAAAAATGAAGTAGACAAACTCAAGTTTCTAAACCAGGACACTCATCTGTAAAATGTGGGAACATTATTATTAGTTACATGACGTTGTTGAAGAGTTCACAAGATAATGCATCATAAGGCTTTGTACAATTCATGCCGCTTTATGTTACACTTATTATTCTCTGAGAATTTTTGTTATGATGTGATGGCTTAGAATATGTACAGTGATCATAATGCTAATAATAACTGCATGGACAACAGGCAGTCATAATCTCAAGTTTCATCCTTTCAGTCAGGAGATACAGATCACTTCCTCTTCTTAAAGTGTGGGTAGGTTGCCTACCTCTCCCTTTGACAGAGTGTGTGGCTATGTGACTTATTTGGCCAATAAAATGAGAGCAGAAATTACTGATAGAGAAAAATAGACCTAGTGTACACGTTTATACATTTTTTTTTCTCCCCATGACTGAGTCTTGACCATGGTATTTTGTTTTCCCATACTCAAAATTATTTTATATTATTTAAAACAGTAAAAATTCTGCCATGACTCTCTTTGTTTCTATATGTATGTCAAATCTTTTTTCACACGAATGCATATCTTTGGTATTGTGATTCTCCTTGATGTCAATATAGATGTTTGAATGTCTTCTCAAATATGTAGCTTAAATTGTTTACTACCAAAATCTGTTTTCAAAATGCATACTTGCATTTATTTTTAATATTTGATATATGTTTTTCTTCTTGGGAGTTCAAGGATGATGTCAAAATCTTGATATTTTCAGGTCAGGAGTAGTCATGTGGCTTCTGATTGGAGAATGCTCCCAATTTTCTATTTGCATTTTTAAAGTAAATGCTTAAAACTCATATTTCAATGTAACTGAGTTCTTATTTTCAATGGCTCTGTCGAATGCATTCAATTCAGAGAGTCCCTGGATAGCACCCATTTGGCATATGCTATGAGCTAGAGGTAAACCTTTGTTCTCTTGAGCTATTAAAACTTTAGGTCGCTAATTCTTGCAGTATAATCTACCATATAATGTCTTATATTATTAACAAAAATATAAACATTTTTAGATGATACCATCAGAAAACAAAATAGCATTATTTTTACTTCCCAGTGGTCTTAATGGGTGTATGAAGAAGCATGTGATGATAAGTGGGGAGCGAAAATTTGTACATCCCTTCAATCAATATAGCAAAAATGTTTAAAGCATAAGCATGTAAATGTATCCCCAAGCCACTTGAAAATATTTTTAGCAAAATTTTGGACTGATGACAAGTATAATGTATCTACATTTCCCTCGCCATATGAACAAGTTGTGTAAAATAGTTCTGATCCTTTCATACATGACTCCATACCCCCACTAAATTCGTTTCTCTTTTCATAGCTACACTGCATTCACATATCATGGTATTCAGAAGGAATTATATTTTTCATATTTATTTTTGAATGATTGTGACCCCTCTATGCTACTGTTTAGTAGTAAGTTTTTAAATATTTAAATTGTGAATAAATATAAAATATTTCTAAGGATAACTTTTTTATCTTTTTAGACTAAAATTTTTAATGAGTGTTCTTAAATTATCAAAGCATGAATAGGGATTTCTTATCCGTAATACCATATTCTTTTACCTAGTGACATACTCAGATAATTCAACACATCAGAAGGGAAATTATATTGATAAATGATATATTTTAATGACATTATATATTAAGGTCAGTTGTATTGATAGAATTCTAATAAATTTCTCAGTTTATTGCCAGAAACACGAATTTTTATTTCAATAATTTAGGGTGAGCTTCAGCAATTTCCTATACATTTTCTGAATAAACATTCTCTTCATTTTATTAATGGCGTATTTTATTTGTTCATTTCTAAGACTATATATAATAGGGTTGAAAAGTGGGGGAATTATGGAATAGAAGGCAGAAAGGACCATGTCCTGGATAGTGGAAGAATTTTCAGATGGCCTCATGTATACATAAAAGCCTGAACTGAGGAAGACAGACACCACAAGGATGTGAGGGACACAGATAGAAAAAGCCTTTTTCCTGTCTGTTCCACTTGGAAATTTGAAAACAGTAGAAAATATGTAAATATAAGACCTAATGATGTAGATTAAACAGCCACCACCAATCCCCAGACCAGAGGCAATGATCACCATCTCATTGCTAAAGGTGTCAGAGCAGGATATATTTAGCAGGGAGGGAATATAAAATAAAAAAATTGATGGATGACATTGGACTGACAAAAGGGTAGCCGGAATGTGTTGCCAGTCTGGACACCAGCATAGATGAGACCACTGAGTATGGAAGCCAGAGTCATTTGGATGCAGATTTGAGGATTCATGATCACAGGGTAGTGAAGGGGTTGGTAGATTACCACATGGCGGTCATGGGCCATGATAGTCAGAAACAGAAGCTCCACATATACAAAGAAAACCACTAGGAAGACCTGAGCTACACACCCAGCCTTTGAAATGGTGCTGTTGTCAAGCAGGGAATTGATGCATGAGTTAGAACTGTTACAGAAATGTAGCAGGCATCCAGGATGGACAGATTCCTGAGGAAGAAGTACATGGGTGTGTGAAGACTCCTGTCAAGGGTGGTGACAGTAACAGTGATAATGTTCCCCATCAGAGTGACTACATACATCAGAGAGAAGGTTATGCATGCAAAATCTGTAATTCCCACACATCAGAAAACCCCGTGAGGAGAAATCCCATCATGATGGTGGAATTTAACATTTGTGGGTAATGCAATTTGCACCTGGAAAGTAAGGAGTGAAATTCTGATCTCATGAAGAATCAAATTATGTAAATATGGTTTTAAAATATTTTAGTCTTTACCTCTACCAATTATAATCTATATTGTAACCTCTAATACTGTTGAAAGAAAATTAAGTGGTCCTCCTCTAGTCTACATGATATTATTATCTTTTTCATGATATTATTTTATTCCTACTGTAGTAATGAAGTGACAATTACAACCTACAATAAATGTTAAATATAAAGTTCAATATTTCTACACACTGCCATTGGAAGATGCAATTTTCTTATGATCAATTATGCATAAATATAGATATAGATTACATAAATAAACTTGCATGTCAATGAAATTTTGGAGATAATGTTGCTGAAAACTGGATAATTAGAATAAAATGTTTTGGTTGTTTTCAGTCTTACATATTTATTTGAGGGTACAGATAATATGGGGCAAAGTGATTTTTTTTCTAGAACGAATGTTCTGTGCACAATAGTGAAAAATGATCTTCTGTTCCTGTGACAAAATATTAATATCATTTAGAACTTTACTTACTATAATATCTCAAATGGAATATAAACTCATAAGCTGATATATTTACCTACACTGACTTCATTCCTAATATTATGGTTACATTTTTATACTTCAAATTATTTTTTTTCTAATCATTTCTCTCTGCTTTTAAAGAGAGAATGAATGGGTCAAGTATTATTATTTCCTGAGTGCCTCTTGAACCTACCTCTAATGTTCCTTCTTTATCATCTTCAATTTTCCAACTTTTCATAACTTCCTTGATTCCACTAGCTGAAAACAGAACAACAAAATTATAGCACAATATCTCACAATACTCATTTAGCTTTTTTTTTCTTTTAAATTACAGCTTTTGTTTTTCTCACTTTAATCTTCAGCTTGTTCAGCAATTTTTCTAGAATTTCTTCCTGTGCTTCTTTATAACTTAACAAATTGTTGGTCATTCCCACCACATCTTTATCGCTTATGTCACCAGTTCCCTGTTTATTCACGAGTGGGTGTATTAAGCAACTTTATTCTTAACTTACCTGTGTTACATATATTTTCCTGGGTGTCCTCTATCATTGTTTCTCTTTTTAATTTTTTAAGATTTTGTTTATTCATCTAAGAAACAGTGAGAGAGAGAATGAGAAGTGGGAAGGGGTAAAGGCAGAGAGAGAAAGAGAAGAAGACTCCCTACTTACCAGGAATCCCAATGTGGCTCTTGAAACCCAGGACCTGGGGATCATGACAAGAGCTGAAGGCAGACATTTAGCTGACTGAGCTACACAGGTGTCCCTCCTCTGTTATTCTTTTACAACATTTTCTTCTAATTTCCTCTAATGATAATTAATAATAATAATAATAACAATAAGACCATGAACAACTACACTGTTCACAGTTTATTTGAAATTAAATTCTTCTAAATTCTGCTCAAAGTCTTACAATCTAGATATCTCCACATTGATCAGTTCCCCCCAAAACCATTTTGTTAGTATTCTCTGTCATAAACTTATTAAATATCTTTCATATGAAGTCTTTGCAGACAACCTGCTCAATCTCATGACCTCTTTTTTCTTTTTTTTTTATCACAACAGGTTTAAGACATGGTTCACAAACTGTCTCACATTGAAAAGAAATCAAGCACATGCCCTTCCTAGTTTGTTGTTATTGTTAAGTTCCTCAAGGATTGAATCATATACAACTTTGTGATCTTCAAGCGTCAGGTTAAGTGTTTTCCTTTTTTGTTTGTTTGTTTGTTTTTATAAATATTTCATATTAAATATAGATTTTAAGTATTGAATAAGGTTTCATAGATCATTGTATTTTTATCATTCTTAATGTTATGGCTTCTGATGACAAGGAGAAAACTCTATCTTCATTACCAGGATAGTATCTTTACATGTTTAACAATTAAACAAAGACAGCTTATGATCTCAATATTTTTGAGGTTGTTTAGAAAGAAAAAAACAATAACTTGTAATATTTAATAGTATGGCTTTAATTTCCCATTGCCTGGATAAAAATATTGGTTTTCATCAGTGTATGACATGGTTATTTCAAACTGTAAGTTCAGTTCCTATATCCTCATCAAACTGGAATGATTGTACTTTATCTCATAGCATCTGGTCAAAATTAGATGGGACAATATGTTTAAGATAATATGTTTAAGATATGTGCCCAAAATATCACAAATACACCTTAAATATCCCTTGATGTTGTTTTCGGAAACACTATGATTATTTCAGTTCCATTATTTTTAAGGCATATACTACTGTCATACATTTTCCAAGTAAAATTTATACATTAGATTTAAATCTCTCAAATGTAGTATTATATTCCTATTTTATAGACTGCAAAAGTCTTGCCTAAGTTTAACAGCTACTATTTCATCACAACAACCTTTATTCACATGGTTCCCAAACAAAAGCTACATTAAAGAGACAGGTGGGAATTTCCCAGTTCAATGAATATATAGGTATTCAAAAGAATGTCTGTACCCCTTTATGATAATGCAGTAATTATAATTTCCTTTCTGTAAGTTTTATATAGATTATATTAGACAAATATAGTCTGTATCCAAAATTCTCTTATTGAAGAGTCACCAGGACCTTGACTCTAGAATAGACAGACAGTTGGGAAACCTCACCACCACATACCAGGCTTGTGAAGTTGGAAATATAATTTACCCAAGATGCTTTACTTTATCAGTAAAAACAGGATAATGATATGAACTACTATAATCATTTTTAATAATATATGTTTGTTTTTTTCTTGAATCAGTGATTCAACAAACACGTTTATATATAATCAAGAGATTTGTGATTAATAAATGAAGAAAATAAGCCCCTACTCCCATGAAATCAAGAGGTTTGTGATTAACACATGAAGCAATATAAGCCCCTACTTCCATGAAATCTGCACTCTGTTAGAAGGTAACAGAAAACCTTGAAAATTTAATGAAAAATAAAATACTTCAGTTAGTTTTAAGAATTTTGGTGAAAATTCATGAGATATTATGATATGTAAGAAACTGTCATTAAGGAAAGGGATCTGGGATTGGTCAGGTAAACAAAATTGTTGGGAAGCCAGGAAATAGCTATGGAAATAGAGACACATATTTTTACTTTTACAAACCAGACTTAAGTTTTCCCATTTTCCTGTGCATAGAGAAACCCTGTGTATATCTCATGAATTGATGTAAAAAAATAAGATAAAACTTGATTTTCCAGATCAGGTAATACTTCACACATGTTCTGACTTGATTTTTCCACACATTGGTTTGAGTGAGAGAATTTGACTTTAAATTCTAATGTCATAAATAGTTAGTTAAGAACACTTTTATACATAATACCTTGATCCTGAGTAAAGAACTAAGATCATGGCAACAAATGATATTTGTTTGTTTGTTTGTTTATTTATTTATTTATTTTACAAATGCTTTTTAAATGTTTGATTTTTGAATAAATTTTCATTATTTTACAAATTGTCCTCATTGTTAGTAAAACACTGAATTATTTTATCTGAAAATGTTTGTATATAATTGTTTTTGAAAGCTATAAATGAAATCCCTTTAGTCATTAAGTTATCTACACTGTTGACATTTTGAGAGCTTTGTGAGTTTTACCTGGAATATTTCCTAAAAAGCCACAGTTTGTGTCATTAAATAACATAATAATTTTCATTGTCCTGTTAATAGACTTCAACACTTAGGGAACTTAAGATTGTTTCATTTGCTTATGAGCTGAGAACTTACTGTAACTTGTTGTCCTAATGGAAAGACTAGGTGTGAATTGGCCACACTTGAGTCTACACAACTCATAATTAGTAAGGAAAACTGGATCTACAGAATTCAATTAATTTTGATAACATATAATTTGAGAATTTGTAAACATTTGTTTCTATTTTTAATAAATTATAATTTTATTTTATACCAAATATTTTCTTATAATAAATTTAAACAATCTTTATTGTTGTTGTTTTTCCCTTGAAGACCACAAATTTTTATTTAGTCAAAATCTGGATATTAAAAGCATTTGTATATTCACAAGTAAAACACATAAAAGCATTTCTGAGTTAGTCATTCACCATCAGTAAACAAACTGTTTTTTCAAACTCACTTAAAATAATTATGAGATAATTTCTTTTTGTTAGATCACTCAGCCTATAAAGACAAATATTGTACAAACTTCTCTCCTTTAATAGTTAGATATTTGGGGACTTTTATAATGGACATCAGGTTTCAAATATAACAACACCTGAAATCTTCATAAATGAATTAAAATTAGCAAAAAGCTCCAGACTGCCTCAAGTTGAAGTCATTAAATACTTGAAACATCAATTTCTTACTTATGAAACAAAATCTTGTTTCACTTGACTTTCTATGTGATAAGTAACATACTTCCAAGAGCAGATAATTTGGAATTTTAAAAAATTAATTTATTGCATTTTACACATTCAAAGCAATCTTTATCAAAATACCACCAGCATTTTGCACAGAGCTGAAACAAACAAAACTAAAATTTACTATGGAACAAGAAAAGACCAACAAGAGCCAAAATAATGTTGAAAAAGGAAACAAAATCAGGAGGCATCACAGTTCCAGATTTCAAGTTGTATTAAAAAGCTATAATCATATATATAATATATATGGGCCCAGCACACTTCCACTGCACTACTCTGCTTATAACATATATGATCATACACACACACACACACACACACACACACACACACACACCTATATCTATAGATATATATCTATAGATATAGGTGTGTGTGTGTGTGTGTGTGTGTGTGTGTGTGTATAGAGAGAGAGAGACAGACAGACAGACAGAGAGAGAACCCAAAAATGGACCCTTCAACTTTATGTTCAACTAATTTTCCACAAGCAAGAAAGAATATCCAATGGAAAAAAGAAATGATGTCGGGAAAAATGGACAGCAATACGCAGAAGACTGAAACTGAACTGTTT